TACATATACCAGTAAGACACAAATGTATGAGCCAACCTTTCTGAGATTCTTTCTAGTTTCCGCAGACGTACATATCATAAAATACAAGCTTTTTCATTCTATATTGTGTAAATTTCCTTCTTTACAAACAACATTCAATTTATTGAATAAATAAAGTTTTAAAGTAATCACATAAATCATTTACCATAAAAAATCCCAATTTTAAGAGATTACAAGCTTAAAACACAATTTGAGCATTCAAAGCAATGTGAAATCACCAGAACTACACAGTATTAAATATAATACAGTTGATTAAACAAAACAACAATTTTTTTTCTGAAATTTCCACAGTAAAATATCAAATCTTGATGAATTTAAGAATTTACTCAAGATTTTATGTAAATTTTTAAGAGGGCTTAACATCTGCCTCATGTACAAAGATGAAATTAACTGGTTTAAAACAGTTAAGCTCGTAAAATAAACAAAAACAAACCCAAGAGGGGGTGGGGGTGTATAAGACAATAGCAACAAGGGTAAATCAAAGCGTCAATATACATAGATGGTAAAACAAATTGATAAAAGCAAACATAAATGTCATAAATGTAAAGAAAATACATATAAGCAAGAATGAGTAATGTTTAATTATGATAATATGTCGAGATTCAATAGAAGATTCTATATAAATTATTAAATAGAAAGTATTGTTCATTTAAGGCATGTCGAGATTCAATAGAAGATTTTATATAAATTAGTAAATAGAAAGTACTGTTCAATTATGATAACATATTGAGATTCAAAGCGAGTTTCTGTATAAAATATTTAATAGAAAGTATTGTTCATTTAAGACATGTCGAGATTCAATAGAAGTTTCTATATAAATTATTTAATAGAAAGTATTGTTTATTTAAGACAACATGTCGAGATTCAAGAGCAGTTTCCAAATAAATAAGCACATAGAAAGAAAGTATTGTTCATTTAAGACAACATGTCAACATCATTTTTTTCTAATAACAGCATTTTATTTTTTGTATAAAAGGATAAAAGAATCGCTTTGGGGATGAAATTTGATATACATGTAATAATGTAAAATATTTAATTCTATCAATATATTTGTCTAAAGATATATCCCTTAACTAAGTTTTTACCTAAAATAATATATAAGATAAATGCATATATAATTCAAAAATACAAGAAACAAGAGCACCGCTAGGCGGAGCATTATATGCCCGAAAGGACCCCTTTTTTTAGTGAGGAAGACATGGGAATTAAATACAGTATGACCTCCTTCAAAAAGCAATCCTCCTTTATAGCTGAAGAACATTCATGTATATATACAGTTGCTGTTTTGAAAGCACCACCATCAAGTTGTTATCTTGTAAGTAAAAATGCTACAACGGATGGACACTAAGACGTCAGGGGTATAAAGCTGTAAATCCTATAAAATTTTACAGCTGTAGTTCGATTAATACTTGAGTTATTGAGCGAAAACTGTTTCCAGTTTAAAGGTGATAGTAATCCCTTGATCTTTGACCTTGTGACCCCAAAATCAATAGCGGTCTTCTACCCAATATGAACAATCATCCTATGAAGTTTGAATACTGTAGGCCAAATGGAACTTAAGTTATGCTCCGGAAACAATTTTCAGTATTTAGCTAATAGTGACCTTGACCTTTAACCTTGTGACCCCAAAATCAATAGGGGTCTTCTACCCAATATGGGCAATCACCCTATGAAGTTTGAATACTGTGGGCCAAATGGAACTTAAGTTATGCTCCGGAAACCATTTTCAGTATTAAGCTAATAGTGACCTTGACCTTTGACCTTGTGACCCCAAAATCAATAGGGGTCTTCTACTTAATATATGCAATCACCCTATGCAGTTTGAATACTGTGGGTCAAATGGAACTTGAGTTATGCTCCGGAAACCATTTTCAGTATTAAGCTAATAGTGACCTTGACCTTTGACCTTGTTACCCCAAAATCAATACAAAACAAACAAACAAACAAACAAAGATATGATTCTGGCTTGGGTCGACATGGAAATAATTTGCTACTTTCAAATCATGAAGTTTATTTTGGCTGTCTTAAGAACAAAATTCAGGCGGTATTGAAGTGAGATCTGTACTAATATAATTATGCCCTTATTCATAAAACAATTCTAGGGTGGATCATAAAAATGTATACAATAAATTACAACATAAACAAAGAAAAGTTTTTGAATTTATGCAATACAGATCAACATAAACAAAGAAAAGTTTTGTTTTTATTTTACTTTTCCAGTACTAAATTGAAGAGGCACTAGCATTTTAAATACAAAATCCTTTTTTTTTTACAGTTTTACTATAAGATTTTTTTCCTCATAGATTATACAATAAATTGACGTTAGAAATATACATAACAAAAATTATTTTCTCAGATTTCTAAAAGAAGCATAGCACTTTCTTTCTAAATTATTACAACAGCACTTATCAGGAAAAAAGAACAGCACTATTTTTTTTTCTTAAAGAAGAGTAAAAATAAATAAAATAACAAAAAATAGCACATTTTTAGCACTTTTAAAAAAATATTTTTGTTGTCTGTTTCAATCACTCTCTTGTATAGCAAAACAGAAATTATACATCTTTTTGTCGCTGTAACTAAATTCTATCCCAACGTAACATGAAAACCTTTTTTGTCGCTGTAACTAAATTCTATCCCAGCGTAACATGAAAACCTTTTTTGTCGCTGTAACTAAATTCTATCCCAGCGTAACATGAAAACCTTTTTTGTGGCTGTAACTAAATTCTATCCAAGCATAGCATGAAAAATTCTTAACTCAATCTGTTAACAAACAAGTTCAAATAAAGCTTACAACAAACTCTAATGTCTCTTATGTATTAATAACAATCACAAAAAACAAAAAATAAAATTTATCTCTTGCTTTGCTTAATCTCCGACATATTTGCCTCACTTTGACTTCGGAACATTCCATTTTATTGTAAGGGGCTTCAGCATCAAAATGTTAAAATTAAATAGCTAATTCGGTATAGATTCTTAATCAGCCTTTACAGATATACAGTCCGGCTCTTTTTTCTCTATTTTGTATATTGGATATTTTATAACCCTGACAAAGACTCGTTGAGAGTCGAAACTTTGGTTATCATATAAAATAAAAACCTAAAAGCTTATCCCTGTGTTGATTGATTGTTCCAGTTTTATTAATTTTTCTTAGTGTTCACGATATTGTTTACGATTGTTGCTTTTTTTTCTTCTTTAAACCTCAAAGATTTATTTAAGCACTTATTTTGCATACCATAGTACAAACACTAATATACAGCTTTGACTATAAATGAGCCGCGTCATGACAAAACCAACATAATGTGTTTGCGACCAGCATGGATCCAGACCAGCCTGCTCATTTGCGCGGTCTGATCAGGATCCATGCTGTTTGCTATCAGTTTCTCTACTTGTTATAGAGTTGGTAAGCGAACAACATGGATCCTGATCAGACTGCGCAGATGCGCATGCTGGTCTGGATCCATGCTGGTCGCAAACCCATTATGTTGGTTTTGTCATGGCGCGGCTCAGATATATATTTGAATGGATTCTTATTATTTTCTGTGTTATATAGGTACCCTGAGATTACAACACCGTGACAAGCATTTTGATAATTATAATTACCCCACCCATGACTGCAATATAAATAATAAATGATAAAAAAACAACAAAAAAACATTTCTTAATAACAATCAATAAAGTGATATTTGAGGCAACACACGCACACAAAAATAACCCCCCTCAAAACACATGTAGAGATTGATAAATATGAATTAAATAAATCCAACAGCAATCTGCGAAAATGTAACTTAGGTTCTTAAAAATTCAATGGTAAAAATTCAATGTTAATAAAATATTCACATGTTAATAAATTCATAATGCTTAATGATTATTTTAGCTATTCTCCAAAACCCGTAGATCTTATTTCAATAAAAATTTTCATATTCCGACATTGAGAATACAATCTCTGTTTTCTTTATTTTTTCTTCCTTTAAATTTTCTTTTAGTTAAATATACTCAAAACAAATCCTGAATCCATACTTTTGAGGTACACAGGTAAGAGGTTGAGAGATAAAATAATAATCTTGAATTTAGCATTTTCATATAGTTATATAATATTATAATCTATTGTCGAAATGTTAAAATTCGGGAATAATCTGATACTTCTTACCCATAGGCCTTGATTATATTTTAAGATGTCTTAATACATGTATTGCTTAACAAGGACCGTCAATCTTCTAGTAACAAAACTTACGATATAATCAAATAATCTTAACGGACAACAATTCTTTGTTTCTTCTACTAGATTACTTTACAAGGCCAAAAGAATACAATAAAATAATTTGACAGTCAGGCAATTCTAGACATCTAGACATTATTAGAAAATCTTTATTACCATTCAACCCAGCTTATGGTGACTGACTGAATTCTTCCTATGCAACAAGTGTAGACAAAAATCATCTAGCACATTTGTAACATCTGATCAAGGTCTGCACTGTCCACAATTCATCCAGTACTTATTGTAATAAAAAATTTCTCTAAAAATGAATGAATGGCTCAGTCCAGAATGAAAAATGGCCAAGTCCATTTAAGGTATTTAGAGTAGTAAAGGTTATTCAAGATGATAAAATAAAATCAAAGGTTCCGGAAAAATATTGTCAGAAACATAATGACCTTAACATTTAAACCAATGACAAGTGTTGAAAAAAAAAAATATATGAAATTTAATGATTTTTACAATTTTATAGATTTTTTTTCTTTTGAATTTTTTTTATTTTTTCAAGCCCATCACCCGTCTCCTAGCAACCAAAGTCTTGGCACGCTAAGCTTCTAGTCATTTTAAATGTAACGATCTTAAAATATACGGGGGAAATTAAATGACCAGACTATTTATAAACCAGCACACATTTTTAGATCACTTAAACTTAACAACAGTTGTTTTTTTTAAGCTATATAATAAGCTGTGCTTATCTGATGTGTTCTAAAGCAAATTCAAAATTCTCCACACAAAAAAAATTCAGTTTAATCTGCAACATTAAACAAAAACTTAGTGACAATCTTAACTTCTAGTCGTTTTCTTTTACTTTTTCGTTAATTTCGTTTCTCTGTTTTCCTTGCTATACATTTTATTTTTTGTTATTCTTTTCTTATAATACTGTTCATTACAAATACTTCTGTACCATAATGAAATTCATCTTGATTCCTCAAGAAAAATAAAGCAGTCTTGAACTGAAACAAATATAAAACTTAACAAAAAAAAAAAATCTCTAAAAATTTCTAAACTAACTTGAGCAGTTATGTTGTTAATGTTGTCTTCACACAATTTATCACAGCTGAGTACTTTCTTCAGTAAAATAATAGTTACACATCAAAACTTACCAACAAAATCTTGTTTTAAAATCAATTTTCTGATTAAAGAAAAAGTTAAAAACAGATTAAAACTCTTATCATAAAACAAATTAAAATCATGCATTAACAAAACAAGTTAACTCAAGACTGCTTTATCTTTCTATAACAGAATCAAAACAATTTTTACATATCTTCCCATAAAAATTATCAAAAATATCTTTGTTTTGGATTCTTATCATTTCATTTCCATTTGGCTATTTTGTTTATCTTTTCTTTAAATTTTCTTCCAAATCTTTTCTTTTTTCCCATTCTTTTTGTTGCCTAGCAACCGTTTCTGTCACTATGGTGATATTCATGCTGTTCATATTTTCGTCACACTATCGTTACTACTGATGAAGTTAGGGTTTTCTATATTTTTCTCCCCTTCAAGGTCTTGTAAATCAAACTTTGGCAGTTTATGAGCTGGTCCCCATTCTGGGCTTGGTTTTAACAGGAACTTCACTTTCTAAAACGGCAGAAAAAAACATCATCCAATAAAACTTAAAGTAAACTTAAAATATATGGTGATAAATACAGCAAAGTACTTTAATTTTCTTAAAATCTAAAAACATTTTTCTCAAGTTTGAATTTCTTCAAAAAATATTTTAGCTCATCTGGAGGCTTGCAGCTTTAAACAAGGACTTACTTTAGTACTTCCTGTGAAAATTATCTATATTTTGAACATGGAATTTTTATTTCAACAGAAAATAACGCCAACAGTAGTGAGTATTAAGTGGTTTAAAGTCAGGTCTTATCACTTTATATATATAGAACTTTATATGAATTGTTTTTTCTTATTACTTAATATATATTTGATAGAGGGAGATTCTTAATTAGTTTAATAAAGATGACATAATTAACCATGTCACAAAAATGGCACAGCCTTCGTGATTATATTACTGCGCATCTGAACTCGATACAGTGCTATATTCTAACACAAATCACTCAAAATCAAGATCCATTTCCTTTATAACCTCATTCAATATCATACATATCATTAATCTCTAAGAAAATTCAATTGATATTTCACTTTTATGGCAATTAACTTTTGTCCTATTCTTTTTTTTTTTTTACAAAGTTTTTTTCCCCCTTTGAATTTCTCTCAGCTTAGTGAGATATATTATATATAAATAAAGATAACATCTCTACCTACCTCTAGCAAAGAAATATCCTCCTTGACTGTTGTAATTTTCCAGATCATGGATCCACCAATCCACATCAGCGGAAACAAAGCCAGGATCCAGCCGAGACCATCAGCCCAGGACGGGTACTTATACTTATCATACGTAATTGGTGTGTACTGAATCAAGTTGAATACAAATACACCCTGAAAATAAATTTTCCAGATTAATTATCATACACGCAACTGTTGGTTTTTTATGATTGTATGTAAATGTGTGCTTTCTAAGACATTTGACCCCTTGGACAGTTGCTCATTTTATTTTGCTGTGGTGAACATTTGCCTCACTAAAAAATATGAAGGGTGGATAATTGACTCCCATTTAAAAATGGCAAACATTTGCTATTTGATTAATTTCTTTGCAATTTGTTCAGTTTTATTTAGAGGTGTCACCGCTATTTTCTTCTTATATTCTGCCAAGTGGATTGAACCTTATAAACGATTAATAAGTGGCCTAAAACATGCGTTGGTTGGTTCTATTATTGCAGATTTAGGTGGGCATATGTCTACAACAATACAATGATTTTCTATACATAAAGAAGTCATTATTTTATCAACATGTGACAGCAACATAAACATTTTAACTTTAAAATGTAAACCCTTGTCTTAAAGAAAATGACTAAATTTTGTCTAGAACAACTCAAAATTAAAAATTTACATCTTAGTGACAAATCAGATCCCCATAATCAATGCGAACCAGAAAAAGGAGACTTTGATACATACAAAAAGTGTAAGAGGAGAGAGGTACTGCCAGAACAGAGCAAAGAAATAGCGCCATCTCCTCATTGATCCAATCATCAGCTCTACGTCCTGCAGAAATCTATCAGTCCCTGTAACATAATATATACAACATTATATAGAGACCATATTGATAATACTAAATTTCTTGAATGAGATGAATAAAATCATATTATGTGAGCCTGTGAGAGACCTGATATACAATATTCTATGTATCACATATGTAAACTAAGAATGGTTTTCAGTTAGTCATTTTTGGTTGATGCACCTATAGTTTAATGCTAACATTGGCACGCTTTAACACTATGTTTGTATATAAAACAAATGATGTCACGTCAAAGTGTTATTAATTTTGTGTTTCATTTTATAAAATTTTATTAAATGTGTATATGTAACTACACTCCTGCTCCGTGGATTATGTGATAAGTATAAAAAAAAATATCTTTTTTTTTTACCAAATGATCTTCTAATTTACATATAAGGAAAAATTTATACAATAAATGTATGATTCTTCATCACTCATTCATAGTATACAATGAAAAATATTACAAATCATAAATACAAATATTCTTTATACATTTACACAAGGAGTTTTATGTTTTTTGTATTCTAGAAAATTGACCACTTCAGTAACACAAGGAGTTTTATGTTTTTTTGTATTCTAGAAAATTGACCACTTCAGTAACAAGGGGCGTCCGTGGCCGAGTGGTTAAGGTCGTTGACTTCAAACCACTTGCCCCTCACCGCTGTGGGTTCGAATCCCGACAGGGACTTTGGATTCTTTCATGTGAGGAAGCTATCCAGCTAGCTTACGGAACGTCGGTGGTTCTACTCAGGTGCCCGTTCGTGCCTGAAATAATGCACGGATGGGCACCTGAGGTCTTCCTCCACCAATAAAGCTGGAACGTCGCGATATGACCTATACTGTGTCGATGTGACGTAAAACCCAAAACAAACAAACAAACAAACTTCAGTAACAAGGAATTCTATGATCACATGACTTCCATCACTACCATACTGGCTAAATCAATTTTCTAGTTTTCTCTACAAGCACTATGTTTAAACCAATTTACATGATGCAATTTTTTTTGTAACTATATATACACACTGATAAAAATTTCCAGACATACATATTCATTATATACTTATAAAATTTTTTTTTGAGAAATATTGATGAAATAAAATGTGTATTTTCAGTTTCCTTGTGTTCACTTTCTAAATTTTTACAGTAAAAAAAAATTTAACTGCAGTGAAACATTTTTTCTGTATTTTCACTTGTGGCTTGCCAGACAGTTCTTCTAAATTCAGCCAGGCAGTAGACAAAATTTCTATTTGTACAATTATAAGCAATACATGTATGTTTTACCATTTTTTAAACTATCAGTATTATTTTTTACAATTTGACAATAAAATTCTATACTTAAAGCTTATAAAATTTAGGTAAACCCTCTTTAACATTACAGTTGCAGAAGCTTTTGAAACTTTCAAAAATATGTCATGAAACGACATTGCATAGTATAAATGTCTTGTCGATAATTTGAGAATCACATATACATTGTATATATGGGGCTAATATATCAAACCTTGATATTTCTTATACATTCTTACTTCTATGGTAAAAGGGTTAAGTCGTGCGGGAGGAAATGGGGTAAAAGGTGGGTAACAATAAAATCCTGTAAAATCTATCTAAATGTATAATTCGCACAAAATAAAAAGGAGTAATTATTTATCAGTTTTTTTAATTTGTAAAAAGATCACCAGATGTATTTTATCTGGATTAAATTTTTTTTTTTAAATTTCTTAAATGTGGATGTTTTTAAGTAAACAATATCAACAGTAATTTTCTTAAACTTAAAAAGTCAGTTACTGTATTTTCGTAACACTGAATTTACCAGGAATATTACAAACTTGTTTTGGGCAGGTCTCAAACATATTTTCCCCGTTACACCAAAACTCGTTAGACAAGGGAGCTTACTCTAAGGACTTTTAAAGCATGATTTAAGCTTCAATTGCAATTAAATCAAATTGAAACAACTTTAAGAACACAAGTATCGCAGGAATTTTAAGAGCTAAGAGGAACTAGGAATTGTATCAAATTACTGTAAAATCTGATTTTACCATCATAAATATCTTAAATGGACTTGTCCATATTTCAATCTGGATAAAACCATTAGGGAATATTTCATTATCATGTACATACTGAATAGCAAACAGTGCAGACCATTATCAGATGGCACTGATGTACTTACAGACTGATCTTGGTCAGCACTGACCACACAGGAAGATTTAATTGCCTATGTTGGCAGTGTAAGTGTTAAATATATGAATTCCATGCAAATAATAAATGCTGCAGGATTTTATTGTAGGACTAAATACATGGGGTCTATGTAAGGGCAGCAAGAAATAACATATTAAAATGAAATTACCCACAAGACTGAAAACAAAAAGAAAGAAAGAAATCACTCAAGAGTTAGTTTCTACAATATATGTTAGTTAACAGATTAGTTTAGACAAGAAATAGTACACTACAAAACACTCATGTTAACATAAAATCTGTTATGTATAAAATTACCCCGATACCAAAATAACCTTGGTAAAACAAAATATGCATGCCTCCAGATGAGTCAAAATATTTCATGAAGATCAACCCCAAGACTTTAAGAAAAGTAAAAAGACTCAAAATTCAAGTAATAATTTTCTGGTATTGTGCAATTAGTGAATGATTTTGCAGTATCTATCTTCATATTTTACTATGCAACTAAAACAATAAGGGCCTTTTTTTGCGCATTTTGACCTCTTTGGGGTAATTAAATAAATTGGATTGCAAGAGCTTTTTGCAATGCGTAAATTACTTTCTTTGTTTACTTAACAATATTTTACTTTTAAACACATTTTCTAAATTTTCATGAATATTAACACGAAATCTGGAGGCATGCTGCTTTAAAATCCGCCATGCATCAAATAGATAACCCTACATCAAAATAACATTGGTAAAATAATCAAATAAAAATAATCATCTGACATCTTTCACTATCAACAAACAAGTCCAGAGTCAGCAAAATTATCTGAGATTTTTCTAGCCCATGAATGAAGAAAATATACCTTACTACAAAATGAACATTTTCATATCCAAGGTTTTAATTCTCTAAAAAAAAATTTTTTTTAATTTAGTCTAAGAGTGCCTCCTTTAATATGAATACTACGAAATCAAAAGAAAATTACGTATGAAAATCACTACATAGATGAAAATAAAAGAGGAAAAAAACAAGATTGCATTTGAGAAAAATGCTATGCCACCGCATTAATACAACACTAAATAGTAGTGTAGGAACAGATTTTTTTGTTTCTATACAATTTTGAAGATTGTCATAATGCAAAGATCCCTGACCTATCTAATTCTTATTATCAGATTAGTGGTTAAATCTGTTGTTAACTCAATAAAAGATCAGAGTAGTAATATATCAATGCACTTGAGTCTAGTGAATTTGGTGGTGTAGGTCATATTTCACACACCCTAAATTTCATGACTACATCAAAGGACAACACAGTAAGACACTTTGTCAAAATCTAGGTCAGCTGAAATCAAAGTTCACTTTACATCTTAACCTCTGCACATGGTTCAAATTTCATAGCTGTACATCAAAGGACAAGAAAGTAGGTCACATCATCAAAATCTATGTCACCTGATATCAAAGTTCAATTTACAACTAAAACTGTACACATGGTCAAAATTTCATTGCTGTACATCAAAGGACAAGAAAGTAGGTCACTGTCCCCTTGGACAAGGCAAATTTTTGGACCCAAGGGTTTAATTCAAAACAATCTTGATACAGGTCCACCAAACAACAGGTCTCCCATTCAGAAAACATTTGTTTAATTTTCTGTTTTTACTATGTGTACATAATGAGAATCACTGCCCCCGGGAAGGGCCAATTTTCACACCAGGGGAAAAATTTGAACAACTTTGGTAGAGGACCTATAGATGATATTATATAGCAAACATCAAAGCTCTAAGCCTTGTACCTGCAGACAAAAATATTTTTTATTTTTTTACTGTATGTACATAATGAAAATCAATGACCCCCGGGGCGGAACCAATTTTGACCCCAGGGCTTTAATTTGAACAATCTTGGTAAAGGTTTACTTCGCAAAGTCTCAGGTCATATATTTAACCTCTAGCCTTTGTCAATTCAGAGAAGAAGATTTTTCAAGTTTATATTTATACATTTAAGGAAAACTATCGCCTCTGGGGCAGGGCAATTTTAACACTCGGGGCATAATTAAAACAACTTTAGTACAGGACCTATAGATGATATTATATACCAAATATCAAAGCTCTAAGCCTTGTACCTTCAGACAAGAAGATTTTTAATTTTTTACTATATGTACATAGTGAAAATCAATGACCCCTGGGGGTGGGGCCAATTTTGACCCAAGGGCTATAATTTGTACAATCTTGTTAGAGGTTCACTACATAATGTTTCATGCAAAATATCTTAACTCTAGCCTTTGTAAATTTAGAGAAGATGATTTTTTAAGTTTTTACTAACTACATATAAGGAAAACCTATGGCCCCCGGGGCGGGGCTAATTTTGACACTAGAGGCAAAATTTGAACAACTTTGGTAGAATACCTATAGATGACATCATTTAACAAATATTAAAGCTCTAAGCCTTGTACCTTCACACAATAAGATTTTTTGATTTTTTACTATATGTATATATTGAAAATCAATGACCCCCAGGGCAGGGGCAATTTTGACCCCAGGGCTATAATTTGAACAATTATGCTAAAAGTTCACTTCACAATGTTTCATGCAAAATGTCTAACCTCTAGCAATTGTCAATTGCTAGAAGAAATATGTTTAAAGTTTTTACTATAAGTTTTTACTATATACATATAAGGAAAACCAATGACCCCCAGGGCAGGGCCAATTTTGACCCAAGGGCTATAATTTGAACAATCTTTAAGGGTAGAGGTCTACCAGACAATGCCTTATGCACAATATCTAAGCTCTAGGCCTTTTGGGTCTCTACAAGAATGTATTTTAAGTTTTTACTATATGTACATATAGTGAAAATCAATGATCCCCAGGGCGGGGCCGATTTTGACTGGGGCCGATTTTGACCCCAGGGCTATAATTTGAACAATCTTGGTTAGGGTCTACCAGACAATGCCTTATGCAAAATATCTAAGCTCTAGGCCTTTTGGGTCTTTACAAGAAGGTTTTTTAAGTTTTTACTATATGTACATATAGTGAAAATCAATGACCACGGGGCGGAGCCGATTTTGACCCCAGGGCTATTATTTGAACAATCTTGGTAGAGGTCTACCAGACAATGCCTTAAGCAAAATATCTAAGCTCTAGGCCTTTTGGGTCTTTACAAGAAGATTTTTTAAATTTATTCTTATAATTCCTTTTGGTTGCCATGGCAACCAGATTTCTGCATGGAATGAAATTCTTTGAACAACTTTGGAAGCCCTTCACCCAAGGATCAATCCTGCCAAGTTTGGTTGAAATTGGACTAGTGGTTTTTCACAAGAAGATTTTTTAAGTTCACTATATAATCTATATAACACACACACACACATACAAACAAACACACAGGTGAATCGCTATATGCCACCGCATCGCAGATGCTGCGGTGGCATAAAAAGACATGTTATCAAACTAGAGCACCCACATACCACAATAAATATACATCAATAAAACTAAACCAGGATCTTACCATAGACCCATCCAAATAAAACACTTTCTGTTGCAGCCATTACAAACACTGACCAACTTGATACATAGGTGTCCATCAACTGTAGTACGTAGATACCTCCCTACAAAAAAATAACACATTAACTTTTAAAATATTCAATGATTTTCTTTATGGACATTTCTAAGATCCATCTTACATTATATATAGTATGTATTAAAGCAGCACGTCTCCAGATTCATCCTAATTTTCATGTAAATTTTGAAAATGTATTTAAAGGTAAAATATTGTGAATTGAATAAAGAAAGTACTTGACACATTACAATCGGCACTTAAAATCCATGTAAATTACCAAAAATAGGTTAAAATATGCATAAATAGCCCTTACTGCATTAGTAACGCAATTTTCATTTGTTTACTTTTCTCAAACTTTCAGTATGGTTTTTCCAAGTTAGATTTTCTTGAAATCTTTTGGGTCATCTGGAGGCATGCAGCTTTAACCATATTTTACAGAATAAAAAATTACAGACACTTATGAAACATTTAAGATTGGCTAATGCCAGAAAGTATCTTGATACCCCAGAACCATTCTCATTTTCTTTCGACAGTATTTGGATACCTATTTTTAGTTTATCTTTTGTCATGTAAAAATTTGATTATTTTATTTGACAGCAATCAAGTACATATAACTAGATAAACGTCACGATTATCCAATGAAAAACGACGTTACAAACACGCTGTATAATAAAAATATTTATAATACTGCATGTTTGTAACATCACTTTTCATTGGATAATCATGACGTTTATATAGTTTTTAATACACAGCTGCTGTCAATTTTCTAAGAAATCACACCTTTTTTTCTGTATTTTTGCTGTATTATAAATTCGTTAAAAATATTCCAGAAAGGTTATATGACTGAATGTAAACAGTTGTTTGCAATATAACCCTCGGCTTGCCACTCAGGTTATATTTCCTGTTTCATATAACCTGTCAAAAATCTTTATAACTAAAAATATACAAGAATCATACCTCACAAGTGACTGCTACACCTCCAAAAAAGCCAAGTATACAAACACAGAGTACAACCCATGTCTTCTTTTGTCTCAAGGATGGCATTGTATCCTGTACAGCTGTCATACATGTCTCTAATAATGCAAACTAAAAATACATCAGGTAAAATTGTGTTACATTAGTCATAAATAAAATAAACCAATGTCATTAATTTTCATGATAACAACTGAAATGTTGACTTTTAAGTTGTACACTTCACATGGTTTAAGGTCAACACATGGTTTTATGTCAACACATGATTAAAAGATATACACATGATTTTATGTCAACACATGGTTTTAAGACATGCACATGATTTTATGTCAACACATGGTGTTACATCAACACATGGTTTTAAGACATGCACATGATTTTATGTCAACACATGGTGTTACATTCAACACATGATTTAAGAACATACACATGGTTTTACATCACATGCATTGTTTTACATCAGCACATGGTTTCAAGTCAAAATGAAAGTTAGTTAAACAGACTTCCTATTTTCATTATGGAATGAGCTTTCATAACCTTCTGCAATCTCCTACGCAGTGATCTCCCCTTATCAGTACAGAGATCTCTGCCACCACAATATTTTGATATTTTAGCTTTTGAATTTATTTTTCATTATTTTGTATATTTTGGATATTTTTTTAATAAACTATAACGAACGTAGGTACGAAAAGTTAAAAATAAAACAAAAAGAGAAAAATGACCTTAGATTTTCTATGTAACAGTCAATATTTATATTGACATTTTGACGTCATGTGACTTTCATCATAATGTGACGTATGCAAAGGCAGTGATTACAATCTGCAAAGGGAGGTAATCACTATAAGGAGTTTGTGATTTCTGTTTTCAACAGACAAGGTCTTTCTTAACCACAAAAATAAAACGTGATATTTACCTCACTGCCCATGCCTAGAGTGATCATCATAACAAAGAATAATATAGACCATAGTGGAGATATAGGTAATCTTGTGACTACATCTGGATACACTATAAACGCTAGACCAGCCCCTGTAATATACACATTTATAAAACCATCATTATACCATCATTATTGTTAATTTTAATCATTATGAATTTTTTTATTATCTTAAAGCTGCATGCCTCTAGATGAGCTAAACTATTGTAAGAAAATCAAACTGAGAAAACTGTAATGAGATTTTAAAAAAAGTAAAAAAGATTCAAGATAACAGTATTAATTTGCATGTTATATGTTTATACTGATTTTGCAGTAATTGTCACCATATTTTTACTGTTCACTAATGCAGTATGAGCTATTTTGGCACATTCTGACCTCTCTTGATTTTGAATCAAAACATGTGTGATGAGATTGTTTGCTTGATTTTATGGCACACCAACATATTTGGTGCCGAAACAGGAAAGATGATTTTGACTAACCTTGGGTGTTATAACTTCAAAGCAACACCAGGGTGTCAAAACCACCTCACCTGCTGGAGCTAAGAGAGGCATAGACTACAGTTGTTCAAAACCCATTTAGTTGCCTCTTACGATCACACAGGGTTAAATAATGGCTGTGATTCTTATGCCTCTGCCACAAGAGGAAGTTTGAAATGAATGCCTTAACGGTTAATATAATAATGTATTTGCATGATAAACCTTTATCAATCATTATGCGACACTCGATGTACTGATGAGTAGGTTAGGAACCAAACTCAAACTCGCAGCAGCCACTAACAGGTCAGAGGAGTGATCCAAATATTCTTTGAATAATCCAACTAAACGTATCATTTTTTTTCATTTCAAAAACTGAACATTCTAGCTTTTTAATGTATAAATATAAAATAGGGGGAAAGAAATATTACCCTGGTCAACAACATCTTCTATATTCATGTTGAGTTCTTGAGCAAGATATCCTATGATAGCAAATATAACAAAACCCGCAAATAAACTTGTACCTATATTACCAAACGCCACAATTAATGTATCTCTGAAATGAAAATGATGCAAATAATCAGTATATATGATATACAGTGTAACCTCTGTAGAGCGGCCACCTCTATACAACAATTATGTCTTTACAACAAATAATCAGTATATATACAATGTAACCTCTATAGAGAGGCCACCTCTGTAGAGCAATAATCTCTATACAACAAATAATCATTATATACACAGTGTAACTTCTGTCAAGAGGCCCTCTCTATACAGTAATAACCTCTCTACAACAACAATGTTAGATCTTCCAAATCAATTTAACACTTAATTTAACATCTCTTAAGCAGTCTCTCTAAGGAACAAGCAATATCTTTGCCTCTTAAAGGGGTGTTGCTTTCCCAAGGTTGTACTGTATATAGACATATTTGTTATTTTTCTTAATTATATATTTAGTTACACAAACAATGTTAAGGTCATAAAAAACGGTGAATTTCCTGCTTTACTGGTGGATAAAGACATCATATAGTATTGCTTTTTTATATGAAGAATTAAACATGTTACACGTTTATGATATTCAAATTCAATTAAATCTGGAGAAAAAAAGAAACAAAACTTTCTATGAGAAAATCTTGAGTAATATTTTTCAGATTTTTTTTATCAATTTTGGACCAGGCAAAAGTAGCTGTATATGTAAACTTACTTTAGACAGTTATTATGAAACTTGTTATAACTTGATAATGTAATTAGGCCTCCCCAGGCTGGACTTAAAGCGAAGAAAATTTGAGCAGCGGCGTCCGACCACACCTGTAAAATATACATGAAAATATAACATATAAAATTCTGAATAATACATGTATGTAAAAATAGACACGAAAAAATAATGTCCAAATTTGGCTATACATGTATGTTAAATATACATGAAAATATACAATTCTTGATATATATATAAAATATACACGAAAATTCTGGAAATATGAAAATATACATTAAACATTAGAATATATCAGCTCTAAATAAAGAGAAGCTTTATGGCAGGGAATTACATTAAGGACAGTCTCACAGGTCTTAGGAGACAAAAGAAATTACTTCTCAGCCAAATACAGATAAATCCATAATACATTAAAGCCTTTCAATACAGGATGATAAATCAAATGTCATTGTTAATCAAATTTTATACACATTTTATATCTTTTTTCCAATTCCAAACATAGTTTCCTATAATAAAAGTAACGCAGAAAAAGAAAACGTGTCTATTACATTGTGTGTTTTCTCTCAGAATAAATATTTGTTTGCCAAGCTTTCAAGAACTGTAGAAGTAACAATGTTAACTGTAACAGAAACCTTGACACTATTTGAGCCGCGTCATGACAAAACTCACATAATGGGTTTGCGACCAGCATGGATCCAGACCAGCCTACACTTCCACCCAGTCTGATCAGGATCCATGCTGTTAGCTATCAGATTCTCTACTTGTTATAGGGTTTGTAAGTGAACAGCATGAATCCTGATCAGACTGCGCGGATGCGCAGGCTGGTCTGGATCCATGCTGATCGCAAACCCATTATGTTGGTTTTGTCATGACGCGGCTCACATACAAACCTTGGCATTTCCAAGCTTTTCAAATCTAGGGGTGATATAATACATGATCCCTTGCTTGGCACCCGGGAGCGTGACCCCACGGAAAAATAAGATAAATAATACAACATACGGGAACAATGCTGTAAAATAAACCACCTGAAATTATACAAAAATAAAATGTTATCTCTGAACTTTCATACACTTATTATGTCACTTTAAAGAGAAATTACAAGACAAAACCTAGGAGATCAGATAAAAAACTCCCACCCCAACTTCTTTTTACTGACATTATAACCAAATTTAATGTATTTTTAGTAAATTGGAACAATACCGCAACGTTATTTTCTCAAAAAAAGATATTTCTGAAAAAAAGCATTAAGTTCTTGAATGTATTTTTCTTTTTACTGAAATTACACTTTTAGTAATTTGGAAAAATATCATAAAGTTATTTTCTGGAAAAAGTCATTTCTGAAAAAAGTATTAAGTTCTAGAATGTATTTTTCTGATAATATTTAATGCCAAAAGGGATTACACAGAAAAAGAAGAAGATAATCACTTCAACTGAATACATTGATTTCTTTTTGTCTGACAGCTTATCAATATAATGAAGGGGTCAAAAAGCAATCTCTTACTAACCTAAGCATAATGTTATGAAATAAATACCTTTCCAGAAGATTTCACTCCTTTAGAAAGAGCTAGAAAGGTCAATGTCCAGGCTGCGGCCAGACATAGTAAGATAGGCCACTGAGGCATTCCCATATGTTCTATACCGTCCGACATGTTTAATACACCACGTCTGAAATATAACACAAAACATTGACTTCACATATGTGTTAGTTTTTCGCTATATTATTTACCACCTGGTTACAATATACCAGTATGCACAATACAATGTATATGTACATACATTACCTGAAACAGAAGATTTATCATACACTTGACATCGAAAATGCCTATGTCAAGTTCTTTTGTTACCATTCATCAATCAAATTAATATCTTTATTTTTTGGGGTTGGGTTTTAAACAACAAAGCACCAACAAAGAAAAGGTCATAGGGTAACTTTTCAGCTTTACTGGTGGAGAAAGACCTCAGGTGTCCGTCAATAAATTATTTGAGGCACAAACAAGCACTTTCAAGTAGAAAAACCGATGTCCTGTAAAATAGCTGTATAGCTTCCTCACATGATGAAAGAATCCTTTGCTTGATTCAAACCCACTGCATTGAGGGACAAGTGGCTTGAAGTCCTAAACCACTCAGCTACAGACACCCCAAAAAAACATATTTTTCTTAAAATTATCTCTCTGGTAGAATATCATAATTACATGATATTTCACACCAAAATACAACTAAACATTTAAATAAAATAAATATCCACCCCCACCCCCCCTTTCAAATTATTGATTGCAAGAATAATATTCATAATTGTCACCATAGTTACTCTAACTCAACCATACTTACTCAAAATAATCCTGAGCAGGGGCATGTTTGGTGACATTTTTCACCAGTTGTGCGATATTGTTTGCTATGGCAGCAGATTCATTATAACAAACCGTCTTATAGTATATACTTCCGTTTGTTTGCTGGCACTCGTCCGCATCCAGGTAACTAAAACATGCTGAAAAATAAAATTTACGTCATCATGATGAACAAATCATGAAATGTCAAAGATAAAGAATATCAGTATATTATGCTTATCACAAAGTAAAAACTGTTGATAAAATCTACATAAAGTAAACTTTTAATGGAAAAGACAACTTGTGTAAAACTTGAACTATGTCAGTACATAGTGAAATATATATGCCCTTATTTTTGTAAAACAATGTTTGTTTCTTTCTGTTTTTCTGTCGTTATTTTTGGTTCTTTTTTTTTACCAATTTTTACAACTTTATTTTTTTGGTCATATCTCAACAGTCAATCTGCGTAACAGGCTCTCCTGGATAACTAACCAGTTAAATTACCACTTCCTTTGACACTGACATCGAGTAACTAAAATTAACATTCAACTCCATCAAATTAATTTATAGTTTAATTTATAAACACAATGATTTGGATTGATTAAATAAGAATCTTTATACTTGTATGTTAATTACTTCAGGTAAAAACAGTTATGTACAAAAAATTTAAAACATGAATTGTTGTTTATCTTTAAAACATGAAACATTCATTCTTCAAAAATTCTTTTAAACAATAGATTTTCTTTTGGTATGCCTTTGCAAGCTATCAAAATCATATAAACATCCACAAACTTCGCAAGCTTTTATAGAATAATTCAAAAGGGAAGTAATTCAGGAGGTTCTAATCTTTTATCAAGGGAGAGAATCACTTTAATCTTTATTTCCAAGATGTCACACCCCACTGAAATAAAACAAGACATATTTTCATCAGCTTAACATGAAATCTTTTCATTGCAAGTAGGGATTATCCCAATTCGTTAAAGAGCATGACTCAGACTGCATAAAGACCACTTGTAACAAGAAGCATTATGGTACTGTACTCATTAAGATGGGAAAATGATCTTTGGACAGAAAAGGAAATAAATTATGAACTGAAGGAGGGTATTTTACTACCTGAAAGGAGGGTAACTTAATACCTGAAATAAGATAACTTATCATCTGAAAGGGAGGTAACTTATCACCAGAAAGGGAGGTGACTTATCATCTGTTAGGGAGGTAACTTATCATTTGAATGACAAGTAACTTATCATCTGAAAGGGAGATAACTTATCATCTGAAAGGGAGGTAACTTATCATCAGAAAGGGAGGTGACTTATCTGAAAGGGAGGTAACTAATCACCTGAAAGGGAGGTAACTGATCATCAGAAAGGAAGGTAACTTACTGCTTGAGGCCCATGGTTCATGACATCTTTCCCACAACAATTCTGCTCGGAATGACATAAACAGATACAATATACACCAGGCAATGATTACAGTGTAGTAAAGGGAGACAATTGCTGATATAAATATCATCCCATAACCAAGACCTGCAAATAAACAAACACTAGTTATCTACCTTATTTCAATTAATTCATAACAACTTTATTCTTAATTACCCTTATTAAATGCTTTGTTCAATACTATGAAATAAGCTTGATAGAAATTCTTTTTTTTTTCATTGTAAGAACTGAATATGTTAATTGAAAAAAAAAAATTATTATTGAATTGAAAAGGTGGTCTTTTGATTTCAAAGGTTGTCAATTTCTTTGTTTGATTTGGGTTTTACGTCACACCGACACAGTATAAGTCATTTGGTGACGTTCCAGCTTTACTGGTGGAGGAAGACCTCAGGTGCCCCTCCGTGCATTTTTTCAGGCACGAACGGGCACCTGTGTAGAACCACCGACGTTCCATAAGCAAGCTGGATAGCTTCCTCACATGAAAGTATCAAAAGTCCCTGTTGGGATTCGAACCCACAGCAGTGAGGGGCCAGTGGTTTGTAGTCAACGACCTTAAATTAGAAAGAGAAATAATAGCCAACTTTGCAGATGGCATATATACATGTGCATCAAATTTGTTTAAATTTTACTCACAATTACAAGCAGACAAGTTGAATTTTCAATCTTTGGTGGACGGACCTTTCATTAAGAACATTATAATAAATAGATATATTTATAAATGATAACAAAAATTACTCACCATGAAAGAGAGGACAAAACCTTCCAAAGACAACGGCGGGTCCAAGACCAGCAAACTGACCTAATGACAGCTCCAAAAACATGAGAGGTAACCCGAGTAAAAATAACATCAGTACAAATGGAAAAACAAATGCACCTGAAATGAAATAAACTAGAAATGTGTCATCATGCCACGGATGCCCCCGCATGCAGCCAAAATTTCAGATGTTATAATATTTAGTTCCAAATTTGTTTGCACAAATAATTTTTTTCATTTTAAGTTCAAAGCCCTTAAAACTTTTCAATGTTAACACAAACCATTTTCATACAATGTTCAAGGCACTGAAATTATTCAGTCTAAACCTTTTGAAAATAGCATATTTCATATTTGTAGCCAAAATAATGGGCATTGGCTACATACATTTCAGTGCTGAAACTGAAAGTTCAAAATTTTTACAACATTCAAGAAAGATAAGTTTGTCCAAAATCATTGAACCACGACCAAATTCAAACTTAAACTGCTTATTCCTAAGATGTATCTATATTATTTTCAAAGTGAAAGGGACATAACTCTGCCAAAAAGTCATCGAACCATGACCAAATTCAAACTTGACCTGCCCATTCCTTTGACATATCCATATGTCAAATTTGAGTAGTTGGGTAGATAATGAACAGAAACTGTAAATTTCATATTATTTTCAAAGTGAAAGGGGCATAACTCTGCCAAAAATCATTGAACCATGACCAAATTCCAACTTGGCCTGGGCATTCCAAAAATATATCCATATGTCAAATTTGAGTTGAATGTGTTGTACCATCGGGGAGATAATAAACAGAAACTGAAAATTTCATATTATTTTCAAAGTGAAAGGGGCATAACTCTGCCAAAAATCATTGAACCATAACCAACTTTGAACTTGACTTGCGCATTCCTGTGATGTATCCATATGTCAAGTTTGAGTTAAAAGTGTTGTACCATTGGGGAGATAATGACCGGAAACTGAAAATTTCATATTATTTCCAAAGTGAAAGGGGCATAACTCTGCCAAAAATCATTGAACCATGACCAAATTCGAACTTAACCTGTATTTTCTCATGACATATCCATATGTCAAGTTTGAGTTGAATGTGTTGTACTGTTGGGGAGATAATGAACGGAAACTGAAAATTTCATATTATTTTCAAAGTAAAAGGGGCATAACTCTGCCAAAAATCATCGAACCATGACCAAATTCGAACTTGACCTGTATTTTCTCATGACATATCCATATGTCAAGTTTGAGTTGAATGTGTTGTACCATTGGGGAGATAATGAACGGAAACTGAAAATTTCATATTATTTTAAAGTAAAAGGGGCATAACTCTGCCAAAAATCATCGAACCATGACCAAATTGGAACTTGACCTGTATTTTCTCACGACATATCCATATGTCAAATTTGAGTTGAATGTGTGCAACCCTTACTAAGATAATAAACGGAAACTGATGATGACGGAATGACAGAATGACGGAATGACGGAAGGACGGAACAGGGTAACACTATATGCCCCGGCCATTACATGGCAGGGGCATAAAAATTTCATATGTATAATTGATCAGTGTCTAGAATAATTTTTCATAATCTTAAAGGTTATGAAGCTATATTGCAATGACTTAACCAATTTCAACATTTTGTCAAAATGAATAGCGCATGCAAACATGTTAAAGTAGCAGCATGACTGAGTGGTAAATGCGTCGGACTAGAAATCTAAAGATCGCTAGCCACATGGGTTCAAACCAAGCCAGAGGCAAGTTATTAGAACTTTTCACTCATTACTCAATACAGCTTGGTTCCAGGAATGGATTCTCAAGTGTGTCTAAAGGAGAAAATGATTCGCAGAAAATGACTCAAACCACTCAATCAAAGCCTGTATGTAATAAACAAAAGCTACTTTTTTCATTTTATTTATGTAATGAAAAAAGACAATTCGGTAACTTAAATAATACTATATTTAAGACATTATCAAGTGGTTTTAATCATAAATAAAGCTACTATAGAAAAATAAAGTCCTTGTTGAAGAGGAATGGATAGAAAACTTAGGGACTGCAAAAATCACTATTTAAGGACATGGAACAGCATTTTAACACAGTCGAAACTGAAGCTGGAGTTGTTTTTTTTTGTAGAGAAAATATTAATAAATTAATATAGGTAATGGAATCCTATAAAAAAAAAGAGTAAAGGTTATATCAAACAATTTTATACAAAAATGCCCTTGACAAACTGAAAGTTTATCAATGATCTCAACATAGTTATAAATAATACTTGACTTTTTTCTATGAATTTCCCATATCTAACACAAACCTATTGAGTGGATATACAACTTCTAATGGCTCGTGTGTGTGTTTGGTACAACTTCCTTGATAATACATAGATACAAGTGGACTTATAAATGTCAATGAGTATATTATGTGTTATAACTGGCTCATTGGTAAAAAAAAGTTTTTAAGTTTTTTTTTCTTTTTTTTTTATGAAAAAGATACACTTCCTTACACCAAAGAGCTTCCTTTTTTAATTGAGTTCAATAATCAACACTGTATTATAGGATAAAGAAAGATGGCTGAACAAACAATTTGGACCAGAATAATACAAGTTGGACCAGTTTATATGCCGACTTCCACTCCACTTACATTGTGAACCCTTACCATGCTTTTAGATCCTAAAATGGAGTTATCTTCCTTTCAATATGGAAAAAAAACCCCCAAAACATTCATTATTTCTATGGAAATTTTTCAAAATATGTACTGATTGAATGGGAAACAGTGCAGACCATGATCAGATGGCACAACCGTTTGATCTTGGTCTGCACTAGTTGTGGCTGGGTAGAAGCTGTTGCCACCAGCAGGCTTAGAATAAATGTCAAATTGCCACAAACCAGCCTCATTAGTAAAGAACAAATTCAGGCACCCTCCATTCATCTTTAGATATAAACAAGAGTACCACAGTATAAAAACTTCAATGTATGGAAAAACACTGGGGACATTTATATATATGTACTCAAACAAAACATATTTATACAGAAGTAGGTAATTGATCGCCTATTTAAACAGGTTTTTTTCTTAACAAAAGATAAGTAAATAAAGACTTAATGCTTTTTTACATGCTCCAGCAAATTTTACAGTGTATAATATTTTCAAATTTTACCATGAAACCAGTTATAATGCCCTGGCAATGCCAACAGCCTGACTGCATTAATAATTATTTAGGCTGGCATGGCCTGGCGGTAAAGATAAGTAACCAATGCTACAAAGCTTATAGACACACTCTTGAATCCTTTTCTGGAACCAACCAATACTGAGCAATGAGTGTGAAGTTTCTTCTCAAGGAAACAACAGCCAGCCCATTACTGGGTTTTGAACCCACAAGGAAAGCGATCCTTGCTAGTCTGACCCATTAACCATTCAGCCATGCTGACACTTGCTACACAGTTTAATAGCTAGAATAGTTACAGTGGCCTGATTCTTTACTGGTGGCAAATACTCTACACAACCAAAAACTTTAAAACAATCAAAATGGAAATACAGGCCTGCCTCACTCGACTGGTAGCAAGGAAAGTTCAACATTACATTTAACTAGTGGCAATTGGGTATCACCATTAAACATTTAAGGAACTCCACTGAGGTCCAGTAGAGTAAAATCATAAAATTTGAAGTACTGGTGCACTTAAAAACAAAGATATTCAATAAATATTTTAGAAATATACGCAGAATAAATTGAAAATCTTATTTTCTGCTATTTAAGCCCAATTTGAGTATAAACAGTTGCAATGATTTTCAATTTTGGATCATTTATCACAATAAGAATTATCATTTTAGAAAAACAAAGTAAACGACTGGTCCCAAATTTTGCACACAAGATATTGGTCTAGACCTACATCAAACCGAACATTAATCTTCAGTCCCATCATGTTAAAAAACCTCGGTGGAGTCCCTTTAAGAGTTTATGCGGATAAGTAAATAAATTGACAAAATCTAAAAAAAAATAATATGCAAGTAATAACAAAATAATAAACAAATTGTTTACGCAAAATTTGCTATTGATTTAGTTCTGGCCTTTGTATATTAAAGATTTTTTTTTTATTTCAAGATTTCGACATGTTTGCGTATTTTATGTTAAGCAAATAAAGTCACGACAGACTGGTAATAATCTGTATAACATATCAGCAGACTTTTTATGTTGAAATACATGAATAGAGCCACAGTCTGTCCAAATTCAATGTCAGGTGAACACGTAGCTGATTTTAAATGAAGCGTTAACAGATTTATGAATATATTACAAAAACTGTATTTTGAAATATAAAATAAATATAACAAACAACTTTACTTCTGAAAAGACTTATTTTTTTTTATCTTTGTTACATTTTCAATTGTTTATTTACCTACCTGCACATTAATTTCGGTCAAATATATCTTCATTTCTAACAGGCATTTCAAGCAAAAACTTATAAATGTTCATGTCAAAAACTGACAACATAAACAAGCATAATATTTCCAAATAAACATTATTTCTTTTCATGACTGACTTGTTCATATTTCATAAACAAAGTTTGTTTTTCTTTCTCAAAATATGATTTATTTGTGGTAATATGTAGATGATCAGATATAAAAAAATATATACCAATTATAGGATTTCAACACTTTTATTATTACTTTATAGATGAGGAACTTGTGAAAATTACTTTAAAGGATATATGCTTCAGTTTTCATATCATATATAAATATATAGACAGAAAGAAACCTGCTTGGTAGAATTTATTAAAACTTTGAAGGATCCTAGAATATGGGAAAATACTTTAAGCAGATAAAAATTAGTGGAATGTCAATCTAGTTTTTGAGTTATCTGCCCTTGAAAATTTCAATTTCAATTTAATGTCACATCAACACGATACAAGTGATATGGTGATGATTGTGGAGGAAAACCTGTGATGCCTGTTAGTGGATTATTTCAGGTACAAGCAGGCAAACAATGCAAAGTCCCTTAAGTGAGGGGTGAACCCACAGCTGTGAGGGACAAGTGATTTGACGTTGGCATCCATAACCATAAGGCCGAGGAGTCTGCAGGATAAAATAATCACAATACTGTGCATATATTCCAGACCGAACACATTCAAACACAACCAATAACTAACTATATTTTCAGAATCAAACAGAAACAAGCATAAAACGTTTGCGTCAATTAGAATTGGAAATACATTTTCGAGACATGGAAAAATCCGAGATGAAAAGCCTTTCTTAAGCTGACTATGGAGATATTGATTTATACAAAACTGTTTCGACGTTCCGAAGAGAATGTCAATGCGGATCTATTACATAATACATCTGTCAGACATACGTGTCATACAAGATGAAAACACTGCTATATCATTCTGCTGATAATAAATTTTCGAACGGTCATAGCGTCACCTTAATGCAGTAACGGGTTAACTCCTACTGAAATTTTATAGGAGTTAACACGTTACTGCACTAACTTGACGATATTAAGGCAACCACCAATCTTTGAATCATGCGATGTTTTTTCAGAGAATTTTATACCACTACTGTATGGTAACGGATCTTGTTATTTAGGAATGATTACTCAATAACATCTTATAGACATAAAGATAACGCTAATGACGTAAAAGGATAAAATTGTTTTATTGTTGTTTAAGTATAGCCTGTGTCTAGTTTACCATTCCCAGACTACAGTGTAACGTAGACGAAACCTGTCATGAATGTGGAACTCACTCCATTGTTAACTATTTCTTTACAAAAACAAGGGCATAAGACAGCTTGCTCGACTTATCTTAGAACTCGACAGTAAGAAAAGGGGGCATAACTCTGTAAAAAGGTAACTCAGAGTTATGGGACCTGTGCCCGTCATGCAAGATAATCACAGAGATCCAGTAAGTAAAGTTTCAACCCATTCTCTTCAGCAGTTTTGGAGATACGAACTTGCAAGCAAAAACTCTGAAACCGACACCAATGGAGTACAATAGCCACTCCAATTTTTGGAAAAAGAAATAAAACAGTCAACTGTATAATATTTATTAATCAGCACTAATGGTTCTATACTTGCTACAACAGAGCATTAATGCCCCTGACACTGAAAGAAGTAACCTTTTAAATCCAGTTTTCTTATTACTGGTCATGTCCTGGCTGAAACCTGAAACTGTCCATTGCTAATTATCAGATGTTATAACTTATGAACCTGTAGGTCTAAAAACCATCTGTAAAACTCAACTTCTAACACAATGCTTAGACATTGTTCTTCATTACAATTGTATTTTCTCATTTGCACAATTTATAACTAGACATTCTGCCAACTTTATGCCAATTCCTCACACAAAATGCTTTCATTGAATCAATAAACAAGATATTTGGGAAGTTGCTGTTGGAAAATGAATTTTCTAACCAGTTCTCGAATGACTGAACAGTTATAGATATGCTATGGTTTGAAAAAAAAGAGACCTGAGCTTAAAGTTTGAAAAAGGGACTGGTTTGTATACTGGCTTAAAGAATTGACCAAGACTTTACATTTAACAGTGAAATTTATAAGGCAGAAAATTTATGTTAGCAAAACTGTTGTGTGGAGACAAATTTGGAAAATATTGCAAATTGTTTGCTGTACAAAATAAAAGCATAACAAATTGAGTAGCTAGAATCAGCACAGCTTCTAACCTGACCTTTCTGCACTGTGAATGTGTACAGTAAATTAATGGTCAAAACCATTCAACAATTTCTTGATGAAAAGCAAGTTTTAATACCTGGAGCACATGTATAAAGGTCATTTCATTTTTCTTTTAACATTTTTATCCCCCCTCACATTATTAACCTTAATCTTCTGGTAGATTACAATGACAAAGGCATCATGGTTTGTCTTTTTTACCATAATTATTTTAGTAAGTAAACTTGTTTTAACCAGATCCAGTGAATTTTGGCTATATATTTATACCACAATGGCCTTAAACAACAACAAAAAACTCTAAACTTGAGAAGGATATTGCATCATTCTGTACTACGCCATAAACATAACCTCTGTTTGACATTATAAAATATTTTATATCTCCTAAACACGGCGTTAATCTTTCTCTACCTTGACAAACGTGACAAACGACTTTTTGCCCACCTTTTCTGTCCGCTTTTTGGCAAACTGCATATATTTACTTTAAGTGTTATCTCTTTAAAATCATTTTTAACGACCAACTTTTAAGTATGAATGAAATATTTTTGTACGATCAGAATGAATCAGACTGAGGTTTAGATAAGAATGTATTGAACGATTGATCAATATTTCAACGCTCCCTATAATAACATGCTTCTTTGGATCGGTTCAAATGATAAATCAGAAAATTTTATGACAGTTATTTATCATTTTTAGGCATCTTTCTCTTGAAAAAAGTCACTCGCCAAGATTTTTAAAGATAGGTTTTGAGGGACTTGGAAGATTCATTGAAATGTAGCCAACCGTAACAGAATCACATTTATGTTTCATCGATGACTGATATTACTGAATAGATGACCGTTTACATGACCAAATTATCATTTTGTCTCACAGTCTAACAATACAAAATAACTGGAACATTAAAAGTCACGTATGCGATACCAAGAACAATTGAGTAAAAATAATCGCCGAATTTTAAGATGATTCTTATCTATCTACACTCTAGTTCAAGAATGTGGAATCAAGTTCCTACAGACTGTATGTAACTTGTATTTACCTTATAGCAGACTAGTTTCTAGACTTCACAAACATGACCTTTTTAAATGACATGTCTGAGGTCTGTACAATTTAGGAACTTTTCAGCTCAAAGTCACAAGCAAAAGACTGCTAAGAACTATTTTGAGACGGCACCTCTAAAATAAAAGCAACAAAGGTAACCCAAGGTTATTTGTCACAAGTTCACTTCATTTGTGATTCATGTAGGTAGCCGAATCGGCATCTTTTGGTTCTGATGATTTAGTAAAAGACGACTTCTAGATATCCAGGTCAAGGCTTGAAACAGCGGTCAAGGGTCATATTTTGAAATTCATTCAACTTTTCTTTCATCTTTTGTCCAAACAAAATAAACAGTGAATATAGAAAATAACAGTTAAGTCAAGGAGTCAATTTGAATAGCACACTTAACAATAGGACGGTGTCTCTTTACACAATAAATTATTCGCTCAATGAAAGTGTTTGACAAAAGGAAGAAAGTGTTTGCCTATAACAATGGGAATTAGTTTGAAAAACTTACTGCAGAAGATGAGATAAAAAGAAATTTTAAACTAGTTAAAAAATAATTTGGGGTATATTTGACTATTCGAGGTCTATTCAGGCACATTTGGACACTGGCATTTTACAAAAACTAAAGTAGGGTCAGTTTAATGGAATGTTTTTTTTTTATATAACACTTAATTCTTTAACCAGTCTCATTTTTCATGTGACCTTAGACCAATCTACACACATCTGTATCAAATAAAGCCCAAGTGTCTAACCTACCTCCACCATTACTGTATGCAAGATATGGAAATCTCCACACGTTCCCTAGACCGACCGAGTACCCCAGTAATGACATCAGGAAGTCGAACCTGCCACCCCAGTTACCACGGTCCGGCACATCTGTAACGTTGCCAACCAGGTCGTCATCAAGGGGTGTCAATACAGCTGTACTTGAAACATCTTGGACAAGACTCTCATTCGGATTCTAAAAATATAAATACATGTAACGGAACATTAATATCATCGGATAATAAGGTCCGAGTACAACAAATAGGAAATATAAATTTAAACAAAACATCACATTATTAGAATATGTGGTACATCAGCAACAACCAAGGAAACTTTCCTCTACAGACTCAAGGGCAAAATTACATATTTAGGACAGAAGACAAACCAGTGCATAAAAAATCCAAGGTTGCTTCAGAAAACATTGAAAAATACAGGCAAAACATTTACAACTGATTGCGATGTAAAAGCAAATCTCTGGCCAAAATCCAACCAAAAAATTCAAGCTAACGCAGCAAAAAATACTTTGCAACAGAACTATTTGAGCCGTGTCATGACAAAACCAACATAATGGGTTTGCGACCAGCATTGATCCAGACCAGCCTGCGCATCCGCGCAGTCTGATCAGGATCCATGCTGTTCGCTATCAGTTTCTCTACTTGTTATAGAGTTGTAAGCGAACAGCATGGATCCTGATCAGACTGCGCGGATGAGGCTGGTCTGGATCCATGCTGGTCGCAAACGCATTATGTTGGTTTTGTCATGTTGCGGCTCAAATACTTTGCAACAGAACTATTTGTATATCAATCAAGTATTTGATATGACAGAAAGTGAAACAATGAGAGTGACAATAATGTTATATATAACAAGGTACAAGGTCATTTTTTTCAACTCTTATTATTTCATCAAAAGATACTTGTTTCAAGACCTAGACAAAACATTTCCGTCCAAGATTCCTCAACAAAGACAACCCTGACAGTTTATAAATAGGAATGACATCGCAAAAAATGACACGCCATGGCAACAGGTGAAATAACTACATTCATTTCTTTTTTATAACTGGTGTTTAAAATAAGTCACAAGTTGTAAATATTGTATGTTTTAATTACGACGAGTAATAAATTTCGCATTTCACACGTTCACGAGCACAATTTATTACCTGCACATGAAACATTGCATCATGGGATAGGAATGAACTAAAAATTAGGTGAAAATGACTTTAGACATGCTTACAGGGGTAATAAAACATAAATTTATAACATTGAAAACCCAATGTTCCCTTGTAAGTGTAGACTATAAATCTACATTTTTTATAATTAAGTTTTAATTTGTTAATAAAACGTTTCAACTGCCCGCAAAATAGTCCCTTAATCACCAGCGACTTCAAAGTTCTTGTGTAAACATTGTCTTGACACTGTGGTTCAAAACCCAAAACTTTTAAGTTGAGAGGTTAACATAATTATTAATATCAACTAAGCTGACATGGTTCCCATTTTTAAAGATTTTATAACCCTCATCTTACACCAGGATTTAACAAATCAACCATGCCCTCCATCCAATACTTCTTGACCCTTTTGCAGGGTCATCTAAAGAGATACAAAAATGAAACACTACCATTGGCCAATTTCTAACCTGTCCAAGCTATTAACCAATCAAATGCATTGATACAATTATTATTATAGCCTTGACCTTTGCTAGCTTGTGAATATCGATAGATAATGAACCAGCAAAAATAGAAATGTGCCCACATGACACAGATGCCTCCACATTCCACATCTACAGACAAACATGACATGACAGTGTGATGGAAGGACAAGAACAAATCTATATGCCCCCCACCCACCTCCCATAAAAAATAAGTTCTTATTATCTCCAAAACATTATCTCCATCTCATTATGTTACATTAAATTGACAAAAAGTCAAATTAAATAAACATTAATCTTTAGCAATTAATCTAAATGTATTGAAGTAATCACACAACCTGCACTTTGGGAAATACAATCAAATCACTTTAATGAAATCACATGCTTATATTACTGCTATAAAAAGTAGTTAAGTAGAAATTTAATAAATGCTGGTAATAAAATCATCTGATATATGAGAAGCATGTGACAAAATAAATGATCAAAATTTGAAATTAAAGCTGAAATGTGTGTCAATTGGTATTTTTAAACTAGGTTAACTTGCCTCAGCTGACCTGAAATTATCCGAGGAAAGATATCAGTCAGTAGATGGCGACCTGTACTACAAGGTCGAATCATGTCGAAGGACATTCTGGCAATTTTCATGACCTTATACTGGCAACTTCATCGCATTCACTTAAGTATTAAATTTGTTTTAAAAATTCAAAATCATAAAAATTGGGATTAAAAGTTTTACAAGCAATTCAGGCGAGTAACTTATCACTTTTCTCTGTCCATTTGAAACTTTTACTTGCCATGGAGGAAAATTTACTTCTTTTTTTTTTTAACTGTCAAGCTAGTGCTAATTTCAATCACTTTAGGAAGGATAGAAATAGCCAACAATTACATATATCATGTTAAACATGAATTACCTCATCTTCCATTGGGTACTGTCCTTTGTTCTGTGTCTCATCTTTGTACCAAGCTACACCGTATTTTTTCTTGTCATCTTTATGGTCCCCATCCCCACCATACTTCTCGGTGCCTCTCTGAAAATATACAGAAAAAGAGATATGAGCTGTGCCATGACAAAACCACATAGTGCGTTTGCGACCAGCATGGATCCAGACCAGCCTGCCCATCCGCGCAGTCTGATCAGGATCCATGCTGTTCGCTACCAGTTTCTCTACTTGTTACAGGGTTTGCAAGCGAACAGCATGGATCCTGATCAGACTGCCCAAGTGGTTATGGTTCTCTACTCAAAATCACTTCTCCTAATCACTGTGGGTTTGAAACCTGGCAGGGACTTTGGATTCTTTCACTTTGAGGAAGTTATTCAGCTAGCTAATGGAAGGCTTGTGGTTCTACTAGTCACATACCCCTGTGCCTGAAATAATGCACAAAGGGGCACCTGATGTCTTCCTCCACTAGAAAAGCTGGAAAATCGCCATAAGATCTGTACAAAGTTGGCATTTTAACTTCAAAAAAAACTCTGTGCCATGGACGTGATGGACATGTCCCGCTTTCAGCTGAAAGTTTGAGGGATCTTAATATCAAGGGTTAAACTTGTTTTTTTTCTTCAAATTTTCTGAGGAGAACAACAAGTCTAAAATACAGTGGGGGTGGGGAGATTCAATATATATATGACCTGTACATCAAATACACTAGTTCTGAAATAATACTCTATATAATAGAAGAATTAATAACTCAATTATTCAATGCAATTTTGTAGTAACAACCTCCGCACTTAATTTCCCATGGAGTCAATTTATTTCCTGTTTGAACAGCAATTTATCACTTACAATGTCAAGTAATGCAATTCCGCCCCCCCCCCCCCCACCCCTTGCCTTTTTCGTAAAACAATTAACAAAATGTTAATACCAGTATTGTCATAATCAACAAGAAGCCTAATAGATATTATATTCAGTAGTGGTTACATTATCACCTTGTAGGCGTGCAAAAATTGCTTCACCTGGCTACAAATTTGGTAATGTTTCAATTACGTTAATTTCTCGCTGGTAATTAACCCTTTCCTCTGCTGGAACAAAAAGTAATTAGCATTTGCCACCAGACAAGAGCCAGGCAAGCCTGCACATCTATGCTGTCTGAGCAGGCTCTATTATACAACAATACTGTTTGCCAATGAACTTAAATATTTGATCTTGACATCCTGCAGAATTGATAACTGACAGTTCTGAAAGTGGAAGCTCGGACAAGTTCATTAAAGAAGTACATCAGGTTACAGGGTTAAATATCTGCAAATAATCATAAGAAAATGACCTAGAAATGACCCATATAATTAAATATAATGTAAACTTGTAATGTACTATCAGTAGTGTGAAGTCTTCATCTTTCTCTAATTACAATATTTTACAACTAATTAACCTCTTATAGGAACACCTCTCCCTGTCTTTTATATCTCCCTCAAAACCTCTCCAATTATGGTATAAATCAACTCATCAATGATGAATACATCGTTTTTGTGACCTAATTTCTGACAAACCCCGATTTAATTTTAATATTTTGATATTTAAAATTCCATCTCCATGTCCCCCCCCCCCCCCCCCCCCCGGGCTTGATTATGGTCTGCACTGGCCCCATGGATTCAGTTGCCTCCATAAGGCATTGAGCTAATGAAGGTCAAGACAACATGAAACAAGAGCACCGCTAGGCGGAGCATTATATGCCCGAAAGTACATTTTCTTTTAGTAAGGATGAAGCATTTGTAAGACATGGGAATTAAATACAGTATTACCTCCTTCAAAAAGCAATCCTCCTTTATAGCTGAAGAACATTCATGTATATATACAGTTGCTGTTTTCAAAGCACCACCATCAAGTTTTTATCTTGTAAGTAAAAATGCAACAACGGATGGACAAAAAAGACGTCAGGGGTATACAGCTGTTAATCCTATAACATTTTACAGCTGTAGGTTGATTAATACTTGAGTTATTGAGCGAAAACTGTTTCCAGTTCAGTATTCAGGTAAAAGTGACCTTGACCTTTGACTTTGTGACCCCAAAATCAATAGGGGTCTTCTATCCAATATGGGCAATCATCCTATGAAGTTTGAATACTGTGGGCCAAATGGAACTTAAGTTATGCTCCGGAAACCATTTTCAGTATTAAGCTAATAGTGACCTTAACCTTTGACCTTGTGACCCCAAAATCAATAGGGGTCTTCTACCCAATATGGACAATCATCCTATGAAGTTTGAATACTTTGGGTGAAATGGAACTTAAGTTACGCTCCTGAAACCATTTTCAGTATTTAGCTAATAGTGACCTTGACCTTTGACCTTGTGACCCCAAAATCAATAGGGGTCTTCTACCCAATATGGGCAATCATCCTATGAAGTTTGAATACTGTGGGCCAAATGGAACTTAAGTTATACTCCGGAAACCAAATCGCTAACGGACGGACGGACGTACGGACGGACGGACAGACGGACGCCAGGGGGGTATAACATAATATGCCCGAAATTCTTTCGGGCATATAATTAAATTTCATACATCCGTCAACAATATGACATTTTCAATTTGAAGTTGAGACAGTTCTAGAGAATAAAGACTGCCAAATATTGTCTCCATATCTACTTAGTATTCATGAAATTCAGGACAATAATTCCCTGTGGCCTGTATCAAAAATTCACATCTGTCTGGGGCAAAAATACAAGAAAACAAGTCTAAAATCATGTATAGTGACAGAACAATGTTTCATATGAGGCAAGAATTGATATAACTTTTTCAATCACACAAAATACAATTTCTATCCCATTTCTATAAAGTGATTTCTGTCATGCCTTTAAGCACTACACGATCATTCAGGGAGCATCATCATCATGTGAACGAGTGTTTTGTCAGCAGCTGTCTGGTCATATAATGCTCCAGTTTCAGGACAACCTTTCCAAGCTGTTTTTTGTCACAGTTATAAATGACTTTTTTAAATGTGCCAATTTTGTGCCAAAGTATTTTATTTGCAAAACAGAGTGTAAATGTGTGTCGGAAGTATTTCAATGGCATAATTGACAGCAAAGAAATAAACTGAAATTGACAACCTAAATGTATAGATTAATCTGTCTTAATCAATAAAAACTTTGCATTATTGTGACTATATTTATATAACCTCAACCCCTGGCATTGGTCACAGGAGGGGAATTTTTTTTTTCTAAGGTTAGCCATGGACAAGTGCTCAATTAATGTCCACAAATTGGACAAGTGTCCAATTAATGAATACAAATTGGTAAAGTTCTAAATAAGTTAAAAGGTGTATTAAATCTATATAGGTATATATAATATACAATATGACATGTGAACAGCTGTATATCAACAGATCGGAAAACTTACCTGGATCAATGTAGTCATTAAATGCTGGCATTATTAACTAGCTATAGATATATATAAATGTACATAATTTATTATTACGAGAATATTTCGCTCTAGGTGTTAATTAAATTACTGATGTATATTTCATACCAGTTTTAATTAAAAACATTTAAACAGTAAAAAAAGTTTTTATTTCATCCAGTGTTTTTGGAATTGCAACCCATACTTTACAAAGTTCTTACTTAATTCATGCATAATGGTGTTTATTTCTCCTTATTTCTCCAAATAAATCACAAAATGCCATGTTTTCAACTTTACATCTTAGATATATCAAAATAACTAAACAATTTCAGCATATTCTGTAAAGTACACATAAAACTTTAATGAGTTTACCCAGGGAAAACTTCACCTAAATTCTTTTTGTTCTTAATGAATATAAGATACAATAGCTTCCAGTGCAGCTTCAGCCTTGATAACTTATTTTTTGTCATAATTGAGCCGCGTCACGACAAAACCAACATAATGGATTTGCGACCAGCATGAATCCAGACCAGCCTGCACCTCCGCGCAGTCTGATCAGGATCCATGCTGTTCGCTTACAAACCCTATTACAAGTAGAGAAACTGATAGCGAACAGCATGGATCCTGATCAGACTGCGCGGATGAGCAGGCTGGTCTGGATCCATGCTGGTCGCAAACGCTCTATGTTGGTTTTGTCGTGACGCGGCTCATATCTCAGTGGTAAGTCCACCTTACTGGCTTTCCTGGATAACTATCTAAATATTACCAATTTCTCAACAAGTGACCTACTCCTTATCCTACAAATGGACATAACACTCAAAAGTCTTCAAACGTCACAGAGAAATTTTCTCCTTGCCCAAGGATCAAACCAGCGACCCCTAACTTACAAAACACAGATTGATGCTCACTAATATCAGTGACCTACATTTTATAATGATGTAGAAGACACAGGCATGATTCACATATTAAAAGAATACATCTTGCATGATAACAATTATGATGGTGCACACAAAGTGTTTTGTTTGTTTGTTTTTGGTTTTACGTCACATCGACACAGTATAGGTCATATCACGACGTTCCAGCTCTACTGGTGGAGAGGAAGACCTCAGGTGCCCTTCCGTGCATTATTTCAGGCACGAACGGGCACCCGATTAGAACCACCGACGTTCCGTAGGCTAGCTGGATAGCTTCCTCACATGAAAGAATCCAAAGTCCCTGTCGAGATTCGAACCCACAGCGGTGAGGGGCAAGTGGTTTGAAGTCAACGACCTTAACCACTTGGCCATGGACGCCCCTACATCACATGTGTTACACTGACATAAGCAGGACTGTCAAAAAAAATATTTGTTGAGAGGGGGGAAAGTCTGTCTTGCTACAGACAGGAGGAAAATACATACAGGTAATTTCTAAAGGTGCTTGACAGTACAGAATGCAAAGTTTATTATACAAAATGTACCAAGAATCCTGTAAGGTAGTTACAGTAATATGTCATAATGTTATGTGGGATATGGCACCTTGGGTTCTTTGGTCAGTTTCTAGCCTTTAAAACACAGGATACCTGGTCATAAACAATAAGTGACAGTACGACATTCATGCCAAAAAGAAAAACTTGTACAAAAATCAAGTTAACAAGAATCTAGATTTTGTGGTATCTTGTTAGTACAGAATACCCATTTACCATATATATGGATTATCTTTTGCC